TCTCGCAAATGAATGACCCAACATTTCGCTCTGCAGCGTGCAATCATCGCTTCTTCCACTACAGTCAAATCTTTCAAGGCATCAGGAACAGGGCCAAGAAACGTACGGTTAGCCAAGGAGAGGGCAGGGATATTTCCTTTTAATAGTGCTGTTTTACACTCCTGGCAAAGCATTAAGGATGGTGCCTGATTTTCATGGTTCAGTACACCAGCCTGCTCAAGTAGAGTGTCTTTTAATGGACCATTTTCAAATGGTAGATGTGGAGGTGTGCAACTTGGATCAAGCCACTGAGAACCATTGCTGTCTGGACGTCGTAGGAGGTCCATGTCAATATCGGCTGTGGATAAAATGGTCCGATCTTTGATGCCATAACTTCCTGCACAGCTGGCACACGTGAATTCCATCAAGGCTTCTCGGGAGGTGGCTTGACGAAAAAGGCGCACAATTTTGTCCTTGAGAGACTGCGGGACACACTGAGGCCAATTACGCCGTACATTATCCAACTTTTCCTCAACTTCTTTCTTTTTCGTGACTCTTGTCTGCCTGATATTGATACTCCTATCCATAGATCTTTTCCCTTTTCGCAATGAGCTGATGTAGCGTCGGAGTAGGCGACATAGGTGGCTTAAACTGTCCTCAGATTTGTATTCTATATCGTGAAGTTGTAGAATACGCTCCAGCAGCTTACGTTTTACACGCTTTACGATATGAGATAAGAGTTCTATCTGTAGGGATATTGTCGAGTCATCCGACGAAGAGGAGCACTGCTGGACCACTTCATTGCAGCCAGAATCAGAAAGATTGGAATGATTAGCACATGCTCCTGAACCAATATGCTCAACAATCCTATTCCGTAGTTCCTCTGATGTGGCACGAGATGGGATTTGAATGTTGTGTGCGGAAGCCAAAGTGACAAGGCGTGCGCGTGGCAAATGTTCAAAGCCATCAAAGATGGAGTCGATGGATAGCTCTTTCTCTGATTGAAGCTGATCAATTCGAGCCTGTAGTTGACGCATAAGAGAACGTTGAGAGGTCTTCGCATGCGAAGATTCTAATCCGAGTGATGAGCAAATAGCCCGAAGGTGCTCTAATGAAACTTCATTTTCTGTGAGGGCTCGTAGCACAGATGCACTTATAGCAATCGATAACATTTGAGCATCGGAGCATGTTCCAGCCAAAGCACAACATCCATTCATAGAGCATGGTGATTTACTACTACACGGATTGGATAGAACATGCGAGCTACAACAACCATTGAGCAAATGATTCAATAGAGCTTCTCGACACTGCACAGGCGAAAGTGAGCGCAACAACACACCGTGAGCTGCTAAGATAGGCTCCAGCTTATCTCGGGACCCAAGGATCAGGGAGGAGTTCAATATTGTGTTTGTAGCAATACTGATATCAGGCAAGCATGAGGAAGATGTTGACGCACTGTCACTGCCAAAGTTGCCGTTAAAACTGCTCTGATCGGGTGCCACAGCATGCGTTCCAGGCGAGGCACAAGCTAGAGTAAAAAATCAATAACACCTAACAGAAGGCATAGGGGACAAATATCACACCTGCATGGGTACTGTTATCCGCACGTTCATTTGACACCGCTGATGGAATGCTTTGCGGTGCCAGAACTATAATCAGGTCAATTAAGCATTCATCGCAGCAACGGGTAGATCACGCAACGTACCCCATATATGTCCCGCCGGCAGTCGATGCAAGTTATCTTCGGACGGGAGTAAATAACCAGCTCCGATGGAGGGACGACACGCATCCAGCCAGTCGCGGCCCAGGACAATGTCGGCGCGAACATGGGTGTGGACCAGTACAGGGAACGTCGAGTGGAACCAGCCGTTGCACGCGGGTACAACAACAGTACCGTGCATCACAGCGAGAGGAGCCATAGAGCTGCCAGAAGTCGACCACGTACACGGGAGGTTGTGTTCCTGTATAAAGCCGGCGCGGACACATGAACTATCGATGCTTGAGTCCACCAAGATGGCAGCCGGGACACCAAAGTACGAGCCGACCAGAGACAGAGAGAACACTGCAGGAGCGCTCATCGCAAGACGCCGTAGACGATCAATACTAGTGAAAGCTACGACGTTGACTACCAGCGATATACGAAGGAGGGCTTAGCCTGAGAAAACTGACATAAGAGCTTTAGGGCCGGTCAGATCTTTGACCGATCTTGCAAAAATGGCGGAGAAAGTGCGAACACACTTGGTCGCAAGACCCGCTCCCCAAGGTAGCGGGAATTGATTGCAGGCTGTAGAAGGGCCAGAAAAATTGTGAAAAATGCGGGAAATCCATAATATATTCAGAGCTCTATAAGATAGGGCCAGTCCATACACGACTACCTTGGTCACACCGTGACAATCACGTGCTTTGCCTATATATGGCAGGTCAGTGTAAGGAAATCGAGGAGATCATCGATAGAAATCACCACTGTCGAGCTTATTATAATTTCCATGGGTTGAGATCCTCAAATGTTTTTATAGGAACTGTTTGTATGTACTTTATCTTTGATTCTTATAAAAAACATCTGTGGTTTTCTACCTGTGCCCAAAGTTATAAGACCGACTTCGTGCTTTCCCCGCCAAGTGTGACAAAAATAGTCACGTGATAGTAGTCGTACATGAGCTGGCCCTATCTTAGCAAATCAAGGAATATACAAGATGATCCTGAGAGGTCTGGTGAAATTCAAATAATACTTCAAGAAAGATGTTTCTGTCAGCTCTATGATATACAGTGTAAAATAGGGAGTATCTTATGCCCAGCTCAGGACTTGTAACCAGCCATGCACAGCATTGGCCCACTCCCCCCAAGTTTTACATCTGCTCCCCTGATCTCCGAGGCGCAGTCAAGCTTCAGTTCAATGCAGAGTCCTTCGGAGCTCGATATGTATACATACACATGTGTCTCCTTTGCTGCACGTCACGAGCTCTTTTCTCGCAGAATTACCCGTTTCTTTAGCCATCTTACCATCTCGGCGCAAAGCTTTATTCTGCTATCTACATTTACACTACATGCTCCCTTCAACATTGTCTTTTTCCTTCTTATATTTCTTGGCTTTTTTTCCCAACCTCAGCTCTCCTCGTTAAGTTTTCTTTGGCACTCTGGACTTCACAATTATTGTGATCTGTCCCTTGCACTCACGCCTTGATCTTTCTTTTTTTGTATACAATGTTTTTTTTGGCGCTCTGGACTTCTCGATTATCGCGATCAGTTCCTTGCACTCACGCCTTGATCTTTCTTTTTTTTTGTACGCGATGTCTCCTTCCCCTGTATAATGCTTGAAAAAGTCTGGACTTTGTTTCACCCGCTGTACTAAGTATACGCTCTACACTGCCTTAAATTCAGTCTGTGTCTCGGCCAGCTCACCGGCACTGTTTTGTCTGCCATGCCCCTGCTCTGCAGGGGTTTCTGCGACCTCAAAATGCATTTTTTTTACCCTACTGCATTTGGCCGATCGCAACCACCGCAGCCACACTATCTTACACTGCTGCGCTTATGGTTGTCTCAGCCTATAAGAACAGCAGCGTAACATCGACCTCGACCTGGTTGCATGGATCTTTTTTTTTCTATACATTGTCTCCTTCCCCTGTATAACGCTTGATAGCCGCGTGTCTCCGGCTCTGTTTCGTCTGCCGAGAATGCGTGTGACTTTGCCTGCTGGGCCCGCGCTCTTTCCCACATTGTCACCGTATGAGTCTCATCCATTTTTCCCTATACTTATTCCCGCCGGTGTTGTGTCTCTCAGACATCGATTAACCACTCTCCAACAGGCCTCGACATTGCATTTTGCTCTTTCCTCCATGATTGGCAGACTCAGGCTCAGGCAAGGATGATCTCTCTGAAGTCACTCTGGGTCCAGTTTCCCAGACACGAATAAGCTCAACTTTCACAGAATATCTGTACTAGCCTCGTGCACGCCTCGTGCATCAGTCTATATCGCTCCAGTTAACTCGCTTGGTACCCTCTCCTAAGCATCGAATCTACTCACCATGTCCACCCCCTCCGGAGCCGGTCCTTCTGAGCCGCACGACGTCCCTCCTCTAACGGCGGAAGAAATCGCGAAAGCGCTCTCCGTCTTGCAGCGCCTCGGGCCCGCGCTGGGGTCCGAAAAGACTAGCTCGGCTCCCCACTGGTGCTCGTCGAGAACCGCACGCTGCGGGGCGTGAAAGAGATGGTCTTCACTCGCGAGAAACTGAGGTCGCTCGGTGCGTGCTCATCCACACCCGCCACACCGCGCTTCACTCCAGAAATGCGTGTCTCTGCTCGTGACGGAGATGAAGCTGCATGTACACGCTTGGCGCGACCTTCGCGCACGGGGGTATCCCCGCGCAAGCCGCGGTGTTGCCCCGAAGCGAAGACTGGGAAGAGGTCTTCGAGAGCGTAGAGAAGCTCATCATAACAATGGGCGGCAATTTGACGGGGCCAACGATGCGGGAGCTCCGGGGCAAACGAGGAACTCGATAGGGAGTGTAGAGTCACGCAAGCGGAGGATACCATTGCCGTTGCTATCAGTATTAACAACGATATTAACCAGGGACGTACCTGCTCGGCTGTGAGGTTGTTCGTAACGTGTCCTGTACTCATGCTTCGGTCACAGATGTCCAGGAAATATTTTTCAGCAATATAAGTATAACACGCGCCTACCCGTCGATGGATGGGAAGGTACGTATTATCCTGGGGGAGTAAACCTCGTCCATCCGCTGGATATCGGTACACGGAGTCTACGCTCGAGCGGTTCATCAGCAGGTACATCTTCAGAGAGCGGAACGCAGTCGTCCACTTTGACATGCAATGTCCCCGATGTCGAGCTTGTCGACCGCTGGTCGAGTAGCTCGTCAGCGTCGAGAAAGCCGGATGTTGTTTATAGCGTATATACTTGGGGCACGACTTCCTCGATCCGGAGACTGGCCTGGAATCGTCTTTCCATCTCCACTGGTCCCGAATAGGACAGCCGCTGATTGTCGTAGACGGGCTTATAGCACGAAGGTACGAGCTCTCCCGCTCCCTCCTCTCAAACGCAGCCATAGCCACTATCCCTACAGCAAAAGAAATCGGCGACGCGATTTCGGTTCTCCAGCGCCTGGGCTTGGTTGCGCCGCCACAGCCAGGCGTTGTGGTTGCCGAAGTGACCGAGGTCGGAAAGGCGGGGAAGAGCGTCGCTTTTGGGAGGGAGCAGCTCAAGCGGGAAGGGTACAAGGTCCGTGAGATCTGTATGTTTGACATGGGCGTAAAGTCCTATGTACTTGTGATAGGTCACGCTCTCCATACTCATACGCGAGTTCGACATCGAGACGTCCTTTGACAATTCTCAGTATCGACTCGCGGGAATATTCATCGGCAGACCATCTGGGGACAAGCAGAAATATATTCGGATCAGCATCATCGATTGGAGCGGACTCGGATGGGAAGAGATGATTGATATGTCGGAAATTTCGAAAAAACCTTATCGGAAGTTGTAAGAACTTATCAGGTCCAATAAGGCCATCAGGCCGTTAATACCCATATTAGGTTCGAAAACATGGAATAACGCGCTACCAGCCTGACGGAGCCTGATCAGCCTGACGCTACCTGATCAGGTCTTATGAGACCTTATAGGGTTTCCCACGAATAATAATAAAAATCTCACTTCACTTCCGCCTTCATTGTTCCCCAACTCAGCTGATTTTGTAGTCTCTCTCCTTACATGCATTCTATGGCCCAATTATCATCTTAGGTAACGTGAGTGCACTAGTCAGGTTCGAACACAGGGCTGCCAAGTCGACAGAGAATTAGGTCGCACAAGTTAACTACTATACTAAATGTGCAATACCAGATGTGAAACAAATCGTGCTATATACCGTCATCTGGTTCCTTCCGTGCGTATGGGGCATATGCAACACCACTTCATTATTATAATCCCGCAGTACGAGGGCATCGTAGTAATGCACTGAATTCACAGTTGCATAGTACTTACTTACTTTAGGCGCAAGGTACTAACAACATGTATATGAGACCGGAAACACCGTCACATCTTATCGGGCCTGATAAGTCCTGACCAGGATAGAAACCAAACCCTATCAGGCATTATAAGACCATCAGGCTTCATCAGACCTGATATGGGTTTTTGGATTTTTCCGACATAACGTAGAGAGGCTGACGGTGGTAGGCAAAGACTAGCGCTGATCGCTGGAGGGTGGATACGCCACAATGGATAGCAATATTGACGACTTGCTATGGACCTTTTGATGCCGTCGAAACTGGGGAAAACCGCCCGTCTTGAATGCAAGTACTGCATGTGTGTACCGTCGAGCGGCTGTCGGCGGCGATGTGCAGACATTGGCTGTATTCATTAGTTGGGAAATGTCGCACCACCAAATAAAGAAGGTGGCTCGCCTTTTACGGAAGATCATAGCTACGGTAAATCCTGCTAGCGTTCACGCACCAACTCTGAACAAGCTCCGCGCTCGTACTCACCAGAATGGGTCCTCGTCCTGAGTCAAGTGGCTGGATATACGACTGCACCCCTGTACCGGCCATGCCCATCCCGCGCCGTCTCCCGCGGACGTGACTCGCTGTCTCACCCGCATCCCGTCGGCCTGCACATTTCCCAACCTTGTGAGAACACTCGCGTCCCTGCCGTAACGCCAACGCCCTCCCGCCCCGGCACCTGACGAGCTAAATCCGCCCCCCCGGGCCGGCGCGCCCATTTATGAGCACGCACTCGCGCTCGAGCGGTCCCTCCCACAGGCAATCCACAATGCTCGCACTGCTCCTGCTCACACTAGCCAGCACCGCGCTCGCGCTCTCCGGCGGCGTCACGACCTCCACCGACAACCTCGGCCGCACCCTCTGCACCGTCAGGGCCATCGGCGGCGGCCAGGACGACGGGCCGAACATCAACGCCGCGTTCCAGCAGTGCGCGTGCAAGGGCCGCGTCGTGCTCGACGGGTACTACGTCGTCGACACGCTGCTGTACACCGCAGGCCTGGAGGACGTCGAGATCGAGCTCAGCGGGACGGGTGAGTGCATTCGGTTAGATGTAAGAGTGCGAGGGCTCACGTGACCGCGTGCAGTGCAGTATACGCCGGACATTGCAAAGTGGTCCCCGCAGAGCTTGTACCTGACCTACCAGAACGCGTAAGTCCCATGCTGCTTTATGGAGTGGTCGCTCCGTGGTAATGATGCCAAACCGCGCAGCACGACGTTCTGGTTCCTCTCGGGCAACAACATCCACCTGTACGGCGGCGGCACGCTCGACAGCAACGGCCAAGTCTGGTGGGACGCCTTCGCCACGAACCACGTATGCCGCCGCTCTCTCTCTGCCTATACCGTTTGTGCTCACTTGGCTGGAAATGTAGAATGCAGGCACAGCAGGCGGGTCCTCGCGCAACTTCGCGCGGCCCGTCCCGCTCACCGTCGGGAACGCGACGAATGTGCTCATCGAGGACCTCACCGAGATCGGGTCGCCCTTCTGGGTACGTACTTCCCCCACTTGCCCCAAGTAGCCGCTTTATGCTCGCTCACATATGCCCGGTATTAGAATAACGTACGTGCCATCTCCCCTCTCTACATGGTGGAATGTGATATGGATATCCCTTTAGTTCGTCTACCAAAGCTCCTATGTGACCTACCGCGGGATCAAGTCAGCCGTCCCTCCCTCCCTCCCCCTCTCCGTCTCCCCACTAACCCGTCCCTCCCGTCTCTTCCCGCTAACTCCCAGCATCTCCTCCGTCTCCTACTCCGCCAACCCCACCGCGAACTCGGACGGCTGGGATATTTATCGCTCATCCTACGTCACGTGCGTCTTGCTCTTGCGACTGAGTGATCGAGTGGATGATGCATTGAGTGCAGGATAACGAACTCGACGATCAACAACGACGACGACTGCGTTTGTACGTCCCGCCCCCTCCCCTCTTTCTTATCAGTAGCTAGATCGCAACTCTGATTCGGCGGCACGTAGCCTTCAAGCCGAACTCGACGAACATCCTCGTGAGCGACCTCTACTGCAACGGCTCGCACGGCATCTCGGTGGGGTCGCTGGGCCAGGTGCGCGTCCTCTCGGCCCTCTCCGTTTCCGCGCCCCTCATTTCCTTTCCCTCTGCCCGTTCACCTTCCCCCCCCTCTTCCTTACCTCTTACCTCTTACCTCCCTCCGTCCCTCCCGCCGTCTACTTGTCTCTTCTTCCATACATCCCCTGACGCCCCACCCGCCCCAGTACGCCGGCGAGACGGACATCGTCGCGAACGTCAGCGCGCGCAACATCGTGATGCGCAACGCGCAGAACGGCGCGCGGATCAAGGTGTTCGGGGGGTCGCCGTACGCCAGTGCGTCTCCGTTCCTCGTATCCCTAGCCATCCCCGTATCCCGGCGGACCGGATTTCCTCTCCGCTTTGATGAATGCTGATTGCGTGCGGGTGCGCAGACAGCACCGCGGGTGGCGGGACGGGGTACGTCAAGAACATCACGTTCGCCAATTTCCAAGGTCCGTTCACGGTCCCTTCCTCCCTCCTCGAATTTCCTGAACTTGAACTCAAACATTCGCAGTGGAGAACGTGGACTACCCGATCTACATCAACCAGGTGGGTCCTCACGTCCCGTCCCGTCGCGGTGGGATGGAAATGCTGACCGGGGGTGAACGTCAACGCGGAACGGGGGTGTAGTGCTACTCGACGGACGCGGCGACGTGCGCGGAGTACCCGAGTACGCTGAGTATCTCGGACGTGCACTGTACGTCCCCTTCTTACCTCCCATCCAACTCTTTCCCCTCCGCCCCTCGCCCTCGCCCTCTCCCCATCCCTCCCCACCCCCGTCCCCTCCCCTCCTGTCACCCTCTAACCCCTTCAAACCCCCCTGCACCGTAGACATCAACATCACCGGCACCTCCTCGGGCCGCGAAGGCGCCGTGGTCGCCGACCTCGAGTGCTCCGCCACCTGCGCGGACATCACCGCGGCCGGCACGTCGCTGGCGAGCCCGAACGGGACGGCGGTGTATACGTGCACGAACATCGCGAGTGTCGCGCAGGTGCGTGGGTTCTCGCGGGTGCGCTGGCGGGTTGTGCGGGATGGCTGATTGCGTGGTGCGTGGTGGGGGTAGCTGGATTTCGAGTGCACGGCCCCGGGGAGTTCTACTGCGGCGTGAGACTGGGAGGGAGGAAGGGAGGAGGGAGAAGAGGGAGAGGAGGGAGGAGACGGGCACTGGTGAGTTGTATGCATTCGCTCCACGAAGCCGGTGTTTATCGTACGGTTGTTTGTGCTACACGGACTGATGGACGAGTACAGCGTGAATGCGAGTATGTGTATGCGCGTCGGAGACGGCTTGGAACTATGTACGCGGCCCCGCTCGCGTGCGGGAAAGCTCCAGATGTCAGCGCTACGCCGGATTGTTGCGATATTGTTACAGTATGCTCCATTCGCAGCCTGTGTCCTTTACGATATCAACTGGTGGGGTAATTTCGCCGACTATACGCTATTTCGATGTGAAGCGACCGTCGCCCCTGCACGTCATGGCACGCTGAGCGGCGAGAAGTTTGGACGGCGCGCGTAATAGAGCGAGATATAAAGTATACAGCAATATGGTAACAAGATACAATACCAAGATTCCAGGAACGGAGGCCCAACGTTAACACAGGTACGCCGCGGGCACCACGCCCTCCGCCCCCGTCGCCGGGTCCAGCGCGTACCACCAGGACCTGCACCGGCCCCGCGGTCAGTCTTGATCCGCGCCCAGTACAGTATTGGACGAGCGGACTCACCCGTCGCGGTCGTCGAGGACGTGCACGAGCTGGTCCGCGCGCAGACGGAGCTCGTCGGGGCCGCTCCCGTCGAAGGAGTAGCGCGCGCGCGCGGGGCGGTATGGCCATTGTTCTTGGTGGCCGCGTACTGTACATTCGGAGTTGGTGCTCGAGTTGGATGAGGAGGGTTGGAGTCGGCTGGGGATGGGTGTGCTGCTCTGGGGGCCGTTTGAGTGGGACGCGGGCTGGTTGTTCAGCCAGGCGTCGACCATGCTAGCAGGCGCGAGTGAGAGTGCTCGCAAATAAAAAAGTTCCAGGACATTGCGCACCTCATTCGCCTCTGCATAGTGGACAGGTCGTTGGACCTGGCCTCGCGGCGAGACGAAGCATCCCGGACCTTCCGTCTCAGAATGCCTGCGAGCAACTTCGCCCTCGCCAAAGCCATCCATTTGTCCACCGTACGCCTGGGCTTGTTCGAGTTACTAGCATGCGAGAGAGGTTGGTTTGGCGGCGCAGAGGGTTCCATGGCAGTAGGAGGGCCGCGAGTCACTCTCGCTCGATCGGTGTGGATGTTCAACCCGACCAGGTTTGGCAGCGGGGAAGCCTTATGAGGGTGGGGTGTCGCGTGCGCGCCACGAGCCTCAGCCTATCGTGGGAACGTTGCAAACCTCTCGGCAAGTGCCCATCCAGTCATCGAGCTGTACTCTTCTCTCGAAGCCTTTCGCCCTCACCATCTAGTGTCTAGTCAAACTCTGGGGGCATTGGCTAGATGGGTTACACCCTACCCGGTAAGGCTGGGAGTCGCGGATACTGTACATATCAATAAGTATCCTCTCCTTGACTATCTACGTAACGTCGTCTTCTGTCCATCGGTCTTTTCCAGACTCCAGCTCAGAGATAAGATACAAGGGCGTTGCAGACGTTGCCACTCGAGATATCATTATTCATTAATGAGCAGTTCTTGCTCGGTTATTCCACAATTGGTGGTCCATAAGTGGCACGAGATCCACCCACACCTGGGGTATTATGTGTCTCGACTCACAACTCGCGGTGTGCTCTGCCTATACTGTCAAACTAGGACCAGCAAAGTTGAGCTAATTGCCACGCTAGCTACGCTCTCTGCCACTACGGGGGTGCAATTCATGCGCACCGAACCTGCACTAGATCCGCCCGAGTCTGCTTAACGAGTAAATCGTTTGTCGCTTGTGCTCTGGCCGCGTCGGGACCTGTCGACTTCCTTGCGTTGGAAGCCAGAATTGTTCAGGTCGTAGGCCCGTGTTGAGGGCCACTTGGTTAATGCTCGATTGCTCCGTTCAGCCTGAGGACACGTTGAAGGCGGAGACATGTTCGGTGAAGGAATACGGATCCTTTATTTTCACCAGCGTAAAGGGACGTCAGAATAGACGACATGCGTTCCAAGTCCCTCATAACCAACGGTCTCGCTCAGCATCGCTCCTGGAATACTGCGCTCTGCTGATATACAACAGGCACCATCGTCGAACCCGCACTCTACGACGGGATACCACTTCCCACGATCTATGTATCCGACTGCTCGCGCCCACAGGACTCCGCCTGTCCCTCTTACTATCATTGGGGGGGTTCTGTAAAAGTCAGATTTTTTACAGAACTCCGAAATCTCGAGAAGTATGCTACAGGGAGCTTAGCGGGTTGGTACGTATATGCATTGTATACCATAATGATGGTCTGTGAAGTCAGAATTGCCTCAAGTTTGCCCCTTGTCGTATGGGAGGTTGAACACCGTCCAAAATGCCCACTGTAACAGGTCTGATGGCCGCTTGATGGGTAGATCTGCCAGCCTACACGGCCCCGGCATATATCGGCTTGCCTAGAGGAGGTGTTTCTTGTATGTGTAAACCTCCTGCGCCCACCTGATAATAGCTGCAGGCTTGTGAAGTGCTCGTATGGTAGATTTTACAGAACTCCAAGGGCCCAAAGGCGTGACAGATTACCCGCGCGTGACGTTTTTACATTACTCCCTGCAAGTGCCGTCTGTCTGCGGCATCTCTCTGTATTACTCTGTACATAGTGAATTGAGATCATTCTTTTTGCCGATGGTACTTAGGAAGGTATACTATGATGCCTGAGTGAAATAACAGGGAATGATGAAGAAGGTAGCCCTTGGCCGGTCATATTGTCAAGTTTTTACAGAACCCCCCCAATGATAGTACGCCTGCCAGAGCGGGCGACGCTAACCAGCCCGAGTCTCACGCCCCCGCTCCGCGGAAGATGACCGTGTTCTCGATGTCGAGAGCACGCCTCTCTTTCTTCTTGGTGCGAGTGCGCCCCTCAGATTTTCGCCAGCTCCATTGACCACCACAGGCGCGCTGGTTGTATTTCAAGACAAATGGAATTATTGGTGCGTCACTGGTCGTGCACAGATGAATAGCGGGTGATACTAGTACGGTTCCTAGCTTGCATCTCTCTCACACCTTGAAGACCCCACTCAACTCCACGTACAGATGCCGCTTGTCTTAGGAGAAGCAGGTATGGCCCATGAAGGATTCCTGTTCATGCTAGCAATCATCGCGTTTCTTGGGTGGGAAGTGCGCTTGACCTCGAAGTCGGCAATGTCCGTGCTGGACAAGAATGATGTGTAGGATACTGTCGGCGGAAGTTCTGTCAGAACGATACAGGTAAGTCCTTAAGATCCAGTTGAACAGAACCAGGAATATCGACTTGCAAGTGCTCCCGTTCCATGTTTACGCTCAAGAAGTCCGTGGTTAATCTTGTCATCCTATGTAAAGCACAAGTTAGACATAATTGTGTCTCCACAGATGTTATAATCATGTTGGAGCATTCTGTGATATTCAGCGTGTGAGTGTGCGCTATAAGCCCATGCACGTCCAAAGGCCTGAAGCCTTCTCCCGCCACATTGAATGCCGTGACAAGTACGGTCACATGACATCCACGTCTGTGACGAATCGCATCACAACGCCACTTCGCGGTTCACACGCTTCCTGCATTGTCCTTTGACCAAACAAGACCACAGCAATCTAGGTGAGAATCAACATCGATAGAACCACACGAGTCTGCCACACTAAACCATGACAAACAGCTCCTGTGGGTCCTCAAGCTCGAGCGATTTTTCAGACTCCGTACGTGTTTCTTCTCTTCCCCCAAACCACACCCCACATGGCTGACTCTCCTCCACCCACTCCTTCTGACGTTCCATTGCCTCCTTCACTGGACACTTCTGACTGGGACCGGTCGACAACTCGGGAAAACACGCCTGCCTCGGACGTGCCACCTGATCCACCTACCACGCCGAAAATGGGCAAAATAAATTATAAAATCGCCAATACTACTCCTTACCATGCACAGACAAGCGTTTCCGGTGTGTCTAAATATGAGTCGGGGAAGAGGAAGGGAGAATTCTATACCTCCCTCTACGGTGCTGAGGCTGGCCAGCATCAGCAGGGCGCCTTCAGCATGGATAGCTTCTTGGAATTATGTTTCTCTGGCGTGATTACGGAAGATGTATTCTCCACTTTCAAGGACGACCAAGTGGAAGAGCTGCAGCGGCGGCTAGCCGCTGTGAACCCGGGGCCCGTCCACAACAGGGAAAGACCGATGTATCCATTGATCGTATGTAATCGTCGCAATTTCCCCGTTCCAGAGTGTCGTGCTAATGATGAAACCTGTCGTTGGAAAGATTCCTGCCCTACAATATATCTTCACGATCTTTAAAGATCTCGCGGATCACGCCACCCTCCAGCCCTTGGTGGCCCACGACGTATCACGGGCATACCAGAAGGGCGACGATGACCTCCACTCTATTGCCCCCGACCTGGTTATAGACGTGGGCGATGAAAGGTCAGAGCCAGGGCAGTGGACACATGCACTGGGTCTTATTGAGGTGAAGGCGGACAAAGAGAAGGATCCAGCTTTCAATAACGTTATCCCGAAGCGCATGAACACTCAGCAAGTAGAAGCTTGGAGCCAGATCCAGGAATACGGTGCGGTCGCCTTTCAGGCTCGACCACGCTGCTACTTGCTTGGCATCGGCTTCTACGACGACATCGCCCGATTCTACCGATGGGATCACTCGGCAGTTATTTTCTCGACATCCTTCAATTACAAGGACGACTGCGCACCCCTCCTGCGATTTCTCTACGGTTTTGTGTTTTTTGGAAACAACAACAACATGGGTGTTGATGCCACAATCACTCGTCCCCTGCCCAACAATCAGGGGTTGTCCTTGGCCCTTCTAGAACGGATATATCGCAAGGCTCGAGAGGAGAAAGTCATCGCTCGTGCGCACAAGGTTGACCAAAATGCTCTATTATCTCAGAGCCTGACTATGGTAGTTCCCCCAAGCCTAGACCATGCGAAGCAGGAGAATTATGTTACTTTGAGTAGCCCGCTCTTCTCCTCACGATCTCTCTTCGGCCGCGGCACGAAGACCTGGTTGGCTGTGCCAGCGACATTGATAGACTCGGCCTGCCCATCCGGCGAAGAGCTTGAGCACGCAGTAGTAATCAAGGACTACTGGCGAGAGGTTGATCGGCTCACCGAGAAGGAGATTTACGACCGGATCCACGCGGGAGGCCATGTTGTCGGTGTAGCCCGCTGCCGAACGGGGTTTGACGTGGACTCAGTGGATGATACCACCACACAGCAGATACACAACACTTGCGTGTCGAGAGTCAATGCATTGCTTCCCGAGGCCAAATTTTGCGAGCATAAACATTATCGATGCATTCTGGAGTCGGTCGGTATCCCACTGACTCGATTTCGTTCAACTCGTCAACTCCTCGAGGCCGTGAGGGACGTCGTGAAAGGTGAGGTACTAACATTCCTGCATGTTCAGCTCTGTGCTCATCTATGATACTAGCTCTCCGTGACTTGGCGAAGAAGGGTATCCTACATCGCGATATAAGTGTCCACAATATCATGATTAGCGCTCTGCCGGAAAGGGAGCACGGCGCTGTAGGATTTCTTATTGATCCTGAGTATGCCCCCTAGATGACGACACGAGTACATCCAGTCTTCGCCGGATAACGGTAAGTTCCACTTCACCCCTACAACATCACGTCATTAAATATTGCACCAGGGAACCATTCAATTCATATCTCTGAAACTCCTGACGGCCAAGAAGTCGATTGTTCACGAAGATTGGCATGACCTCGAATCCGTTTTCTGGGTTCTCCTCTTCACTGTCGTGCGGCATGTTAGGACGAACCTGATAAAGGAGGATATTCACGATATTTTCGACGGCACCAAGGGCAATGGCAGGTCCGCATGGATTCTGGGGATGTCATGGGATACTGTGGAAGTAGAAAACCATCCTCCCCTTACCCGTTGCGTCCACGAGCTTGCTAGACTGGTTGCTAGCCACTATGGTCTCATTACGGCAAACCTTCTTACCCATGACGCCGTTTTGAAAGCTTTAGATGACGCACTCGTCGCTCAAGACTGGCCGAAGAAGGACCCCAAGGCACTGGAGTTCCAGCGGACGTTTGACGAGACCACGCAGATGAATCGGTTCACGGGAGTCCAGGTTGCATCCACGATGCGCTCCTCGCAGGCCAGCGGCCTGTCAGGGCCGAGCATACATCAGATGTCTCAGCAGAGTGGTTCCCGTAAACGCAAGGCTGACACTGAAAAGGAGTAAGATGCGGTTCAGCCTTCGTCGACCGGCAGTAAGCGGGTCAGGAGTGCGTCAGGAGTGTAAAGGTTGTGTCGAGCGGATTCGATGTCGGAGTCACATTCCTGAAGCGAGCGTCTAGATATTCGCGAGCTCCTTGGATGGCACTTTGATGGTGTACGACGGTCGACGGCCTATTTCTGGTAGTGAGCGTCTGGATATTCGCGAGCTACTTGGGTAGCTGTTCAAGGCTGAAGTGTTGTTCTCATATATACATTTTTTCTATCTACTGCATTGTCCTGTGCACCGCTGTATCCATCTCACTGCAACTACTTCTATAATACGTTCCGTAGACTTGCACTCGGATCAGGGAGGGCGACATCCCGTATGAGTTGCCCGATTACTATCAGCAACAAGGTAGCCCTCTCTCGGCCATGTTCTCTCTCTTTCCGTCTTCACGATGGTCCCCTGGAATTCCTCTCTATAAGCAACGGCAATATCTTAGTGCGCCGTATGGCTCAGGCTCCCCTTCATCATCGTGCGCATCCAGATCGCTCTGATACTTCAGGACGAGTAACCTGGAAAGCCCGCCAACAAAGTCATTTGAACATCGCTTGCTTGTTGTCGCTGTGACGGGGTACATTAGGTGTATACCAAGTCACTTAATGAGGTCTCTATATCTAACCTTGATTTTACAAAGATCAGGCAGATGCTGGCCAGCTTCAATCCATATCCAATCGCATATATCCCTATATCACTCGATATAAATAAAAGATTTGTGTTTCGCGGACGATTGGTTCGAGGGTCACACCCTGGAGAGATCATCGCCGCGAGATGTCAAGGAAATGAAGTGTGGTTGTCAGTATTCCGCATAATCGTATTTTGAGGTGACACACTGTAACTACAGAGCAGGAGTCAATCGGGTCCGCATTTCCTGTGCGGAGACCAGGTGAGTAAGTCACCGAATATGCAAACACGCTCTCACTAGAAGTCGTAGCGACATTTCACAGAAGGATACTCTTCTACTCTTCACGGCTTCTCCTACTTACACAATTATGACGCGCTGTTCAGCGCCGAGTTGGCCCGCAGTGCAAAACCCCATACACCATGCGGGGGCATACACAACGCTGCAAGCGTATGCGATGAGAAGTTCGGTACTTATCCTCCAGGCTCCACTTCTCAACCAGTCGCCTGGAGATACAAGCCACGATGAGAGGCCTCTTCTTACGGCTCGGAATTCGATACAGAACGAATCGCGAGAGCATAGCGGGCCCTCTGATCCCTCGTACACGTACCCTTATTTTCATCGATAAGACGAGGCGGATGAAGAAACCTTTGACCGGATCATGGGGGAGAGTGATACGTACGTGTGAGCGATCTCGATTATCTGTCACGACCTCCCATCTCCCTTTCGCCAGACGTCCCTATACCGCGGATGTCAAGAAAACCAGAGATCAATGTCCGCAAAAATGGTAGTAGAAAATAGATGTCACCCAGAGAGGTCAATATCGAGTTACCAGCTCATTCTCGCAGGCAGAAAACGGGGACTCAACAACAGTTGGAGCTAAGGAGCAACTTCACGGATAGAGTTCAATTCGCCCAGGGGAGGAGCCAGGAATTAGCGATGGGAAGCTCGTCTTTTAGCCTGTCCCTCCTGTTCCAGCTCCCAGCAGCACCCAGCTCGAGACCTGACCTAGAGCAGACGGTCAGGGAGATGCGTCACTGACTTATCCGCGATCCAGCCCCATCCCATCTCATCTCCGCACCTTCGTTTCTTGCGGAATCCACCTTGACTAGACTCCTCTCACTGAGAGTTCCCAGCAAGTGCGGGGTACAGCCCTATGAAAGGAGTGATGTCGGGATACCGATCGGGAGTGCTTCCCTTCAGCTTTTCCTCGGGCTGCATGCCTCAGAAGTCGCTTTCGCTATCGGATCGTAATATGCTTCCCAATACCAGTGGAGTCTTATATTTCTCAAGAATGCTGGCTGGGACGCTTGCCATCTAGGAGATTTCCACGAATGCCAGACGAACCTGCTCAGTCCGAACGAGAGCGGAGAATCCCGGCGCACCGGGCGCTCCTAACCTCACGCCGCGCGCCCAAGTTCTTGTCCCGCCAGTCTCGAGGGTACTCATTGCTTTGCATGCATCAGTTTTGCTGTCGCCGATGGAGCTAGTCTTGTAGAAGGGACGAGGATCAATGATTGGACTGTGGCAGGGACTTCTTGATTCCGATCACGACACTTCGTCAGGTCAGCGAGCCGCCTTTCCCCAGCATTCTTCAAGCGCCCCCTCTTCAGATTGATGTGATCGTCCTGGAACTACTCTACTGGCACAGATTCATCTTCGTTCGCCTTTTAAAGCTCTGTGGCACGCCGAAAGTTCTCACCCTGGGCCGGTAATATTGAGACGGTCGGAGATGGATGGCCGTTCTTGCGTTCTATTTCTATGCAATGGGTACGGCCGGAGGGTCCCTCGGTGGAGGTTAGCGCATGATCAGCGCTCACTTCGTACGAGGCTTGCAAGCGCTAACTAATGACGGTGCAGCGAGACCAAGCGGAAGCGGGGAGAGGATGAAGAGGTGGACCCGGATAACGAGTATGGGCTGTTTGCGTCGGGGCGTACGAGGCGGACGACGAGGAGGCGGATATGATTTACGACTCGGTGGACCGGAACATGGACACGCGGCGGCGGGCTCGGAGGTACGTCCCATCCCATTCACCTTCCTCACTCGCATCTCACTGCTATATAACCCGGCTGACGAATAAGATTGCCCACCACCGGGATGCTCTCCCCCTCCTCATCAGTCACGGCCGACAGCCCGCGCTTGAGGTCGGTGAGCTGCTGCTGCTGCTTCGGGCGCTCCGCGCGGGCTTTCGCGAGTTCTTCCTGTTCGCGGGCTTCTCTGAGCGCAGGACCGATGTCCGAGCGAGTCGTGAAGCGCGACGCACTGCAAGCACCCGTCAGCCCGCCCCGACCCGCATGGATGCTCGTACTCACCCTCGCCCAAGACCGGCAACATACGACGCCGGCGCAGGCATAGGCAAAACGCCAGTTTGTTCGTTTTGTTATTTGCCGCCATGGTCGTCAGAATCCTCGGCTAGGGCAATAGCTAAGTATTAGAGGTGGCAGGGATGTTAAGGAACGACCGAAGGAGGCGTGCAGGTCGCAGTCGATGGCAAAGTAAGTACTTTGGGTCAAGCTTGACCCAAACAGGGACGCGCGAGTGTGGCTGTGCATGCGACACCTCGCAAATTTGATCAGCGTACACAAAACGCAGCGGAAATCAGCAGAGGTTATTTCCAAGGCACTGGTGCATTCGCAGCTACAAGTGCGTAGTTGAAGCGATACCATTCCTACCCCACAAAATCCAGATAAAAATACATCAATCTAGCCATCCTACCCCACCCTATCTGCCCGTAGATAATGCACCCAACCAACCAAGCCCTCCCACTCACACCACCGGCACCTCCGGCAGCCGATACCCCCCCTCCCGAGTCCCTCTCCGCATCTCCGTACACCTCATACGCGTGCTTCTCCAAATCATGCCCCAGCCACTCCGGGGACGGCATCTCGACCTCCGCGCCCTTCGCCTCCGGCTTGGCTTTATGCCATATGTCGCGCACCTGCTCGCTGAAGCGCTGTGCGCACGCGCGGGTACCTGGAATACAACACAAGGCATGAGTGAGTTGAAGGAGAAGGAAGGAGGACGGACCGGATCTTCTCCCATGCTTGGATGGCGAGGCGGACGTTGTCCTTGCCCGAGAGCTGCAGCGCTACCGCGAGCGTGACCCCGTCCTCGACTGCCTGTGACGCGCCCTGCGCGCTCATCCTACAGACAAGCCCCCTCATCGGCCACCCTAGCCACAACCGCACCTCAACATGGTTACGGCAAGAACGGGTGCGCCGCGTCCCCGATTAGCAGGATCCGCCCGCCGCGGCTGATCCACGTCGGCAGCGGGTCGCGGTACACGATCTTCCAGTCGACACAGCTCGGCGCCTTCGACTGGATCTCCGCGCAGCGCGGGTCGTAGCCCTCGACGACCTTCAGCACGTCCTCCATCATGCCCGGGAAGGACCAGGATTCCTCAGTGTCCGCTTCGTCTCTGCGGTGATGTGAGTAAGGAGTGTGTCCGGGGGACGGTGGATGGAGGAGGGAAAGTACTTGTGTGTGATCACCCAGGACATGAAGCGCCCGCCGCGCGCGGTGGAGGTGAGCATGTGCACGTCGGGACCTGCGAGTGCGGGCAAGGGTTGATAAAATGTGAGTAGATGGTAAGACGGAGGACTCACCGATCCACCCGTAGAACGCGTCCCCGTTCTTGCACATGAAGTCGGTGAGAGGGTCCCTGTCGACGCCCTGCTCGTACGCGTCGAACCACGCCCTGTACACAGCGTAGCCCAACGACTTCGGCTTATCATCGTACCCCTAGAGCATATCACCTTTTTCAGACTGGGGTCTCGGCATGCGAATTGGAAGATAGCTCACCAAAACCAGCGTCCGCGCCTTACTCCTCTCACCATCCGCGCCGACCACCACATCCGCCTCGATCCGCTCCCCGTTCGAGCCCACCCACGCGCGGCCCTCGTCCTCGTCGTACTTCGTCACGTCCTGCCCCAAGCGAATTTCGACGCCGAGCGACTTGGTGTAGTTGAACAGCACCTCGTGCAGCACGTCGCGGTGCCCGCTGTAGTTGTGCGCGCCGTAGCGCATCTCGCTGAAGTGCTGGACCGTGAGGATCTCGCCCTTGGAGTTGTGGATCGTGAGCTCGGAGAGGTGGTTGCAGATGGGCCAGATCCTGGGCCGTGCGTAGGCATCGGGCAAAGGAGCAAGTATAGCCACAGCACTCACTGGTCGTGTAAACCCTAATGCTCGAAGATGCGCCCGACATTGGAACCAAAGCTGATGATATCACCTAAAGTAGAGAATGTGTTCGTTCAGCTACCTATGCAGAGCCCCGCTAGACTCACCGAGCGACTTGAGCGCCTTGAACTTCTCCAGCACGAGCACCTCGTGTCCCTTCCGCACACACTCAATCGCGCACGCCAGCCCCGCAAACCCCGCGCTGACGATCACCACCTTGATCCCGGTCGAGCTCCCTGCGTGTAGTTCGGGTGGACCATGGCGAGCACTAACCTGCCCTTCAACCCATATCGGATGGGACTTTATAGCAGCAAACGGGTGATGTGTACAGCCCTAGCATGAGAAGAAGGGACAAGAAAAGCTGAGGAGTGCGAGCGTTGCTGGGTGGGGGTCATGGGAGTGCACAGGCTGGAGACGCAATTGGCTAAGGGCGCACCACATGAGCATGTCTGCTGCCGTACCTCGGATTATTTGTCATCTATCGCACTTATCAGCGACAATGCCCTTTCGAATTCGTGCTGTTGTATCGTCCAGGGCAGAAGAAATACAAGTCTAATATCGCTATAATGCCCCATTTTCGTGGAGTCGATAGACGATCGACGAGCTAACTCGGACGGGCCGATGTGACCGCACCGGATATCAACGCATCTTTTGATTGCTCCTTTGAATTACCGGACTCTTCACAATATTCAGCCTCCCAAGACGCGTCCACGCTTTCTTTCTTTCACCTCGCACCATGGCGCCTCAGAAGCCCCTCAGGAGCGTCGCAGACATCGCAGCGCTGATCGACCATAGGTACACCGAACACTCAATGCCAAACAGCAATCGAGTACTGACAAATACTTAGTCTCCTGCATCCAACCTTGACGGATGCGGAGATCCAGCGCGGACTCGAACTTGCCAGGGATTACAAGGTCGCCACGGCCTTCATCAAGGTACGCTATGGGAGTCTTCCACAAAACCGGTGCTCACTTCGACTACGCATCACCAGCCTTACAGCATCCCCCAAGCCATCAACATCCTCAGCGGCTCTGGGTGAGTGGCACCCCAACCCCCTTCATCCAATCCCGCGTACTAAAATGATGCCGCCACACCCTCCCAGTGACCTGCCTCGAAGACAACAACGCAGGACCTTGGCCATGGAAAAGACCCAGGCGTATCCGTAGGCTCGCGCACCTCTTCGCGCTGCATGAGGATACCTCCAATGCGTCGCCTACCTCCTTCAGGGTGCCTCAACCCCAGCATTATCACCTGAGAGGAGCAGGAATCGCACGCACCGTCATTGATATTCCCGGCCAGTTCAACTCCAGTGCACCTTTCCTATCAAACGCGGAGACGGCAGTTAAGCAAAGGGTAAGTTCAGGGTGACAAGCTTACAGGGTACTTACTAGGTAGCCCGAGTTGGTGCCCGCTTTACCTCACGTAAGATTGTGTGTGGCTTCCCCCGATCCTCGTGGCTTCAGAAGTCACCGAGCATGCAATGTCAGGCTATGACAAAAGATCAATAGGGAGTGACCGTACGTGTCCTTCAGGAATACTGTCCCGCCGCTTCATCTTCAGGAGTGTGTCCTCAGGACGGAATTGCTATGGATCATCGTGATGGACGACTGGGTCGTCACGGTTACAGCAACAATGTGCCCACAAGACTGAGAGAGAAGTCAGCTGCGCTGGTTGACAGAGCTCCTTGCCATAGGCTTCATCTACGAGGACTATAGTTAGATAAGACTGGGAAAGATATGAAATGCACGACCTGATCCGTTCGGACGTCCTTCGGGCATCATGCACCGAGGCGGTCGGGGCTTGTGGGGACATGATCCCCGGTCTCAAGCACCGGACGCAGGGCACTCGCACTAGATGATTTGGCCTGCCCAGATACTTCACCTGCCACCAGAAAGCCAGTCGCGAGGCATAGTTCCGCGACGTATTTCCTATAACGTCTGTCAAGACACGTAGCGGGAGGATAATCCTAATCCAGCAACTTGCCAGAAGTAGCACTCACTGACTGGAAGTATCTATCCGTGGCATCGGGTATTCCAGCTACGCCGTCGGAAGACGAATGTGATATTCTGAACATGCACATAGACGGGCATCGTCTTCTTCTACTAAATATTCTTTCCCCTGATGAAGCCAGATTATGACATACGCACCTTTAATTCCTTTGCATTGCCACAGCTCTTGGCCTCTTCCCTTCAACTCAGCGCAGTAGGGATAGAAGAATACAATGGAACGTGCTTAAGAAGTTGCCTTTATCTCAGCTCTCAGTGTGACGGTGAGTAGTAATAGACCGATTGGTGGCCATCTGTCCCAACGAACCCCAGTCCGTCCGTATTATGTGACCACAAACTCAGTCAAAACTGAAGGGTATTGGAACAGGTAGATGAGTAAAGAGACATCTGGATCAGAGCAACGAAGGGAGTGTGCGAGGTACGATCATCATGACGAGCTTGATTTGAGGGAGGGGATATAGAGATGAACATGACACCTGTCAACATATCTAGTATACTTGTGTGCTCCCGTGCGTTTTCAATTGGATTAGCCAAGTGGGAATATTAATGCCTTACCTTGATGCGAGACGAGACGAGGAGAGAGAGGGATAGACATCAGAGCAAGCCCATCATTTCAGCGAGACAGCATAGTGGCAGACGATGTGCAGTCGAGGAGATGTGGAGAACAGGACTGGAAATTATAAAGATGCATTCGACATGAGCAGGTGGGGGGATGGTAGCTTTCCAAGGAAACAGCAAGGCAGTCTGTCATACAGGAAAATGCGAGCCCAGAGATCGAAGGATATGCTTGAAGCAGAGAGTATGCAAGGAAGACAATGCAAAACAAAGACGCATGAGACTGGCTCATCACCGGCCCATCAAAAACTCCATGTCCTGACTATCTAGCAAGTTATAGCGACAGTGAGGAACCGCAATGCAGGGCTTACGAGCGTGACAGGCATAGCGACGACGTTCCCAAAGGTCATGGTAAGGCAAGCTTGAGACCAATTCATTGCGGTATGCAGCGCGGTCCCAGTAACAATCGTGTGCTGCGGTAAAAGGCCAGACATGTACAGACAGTAGATCGTAGGGCTGCTCCAGTCGAAACAGTGGTGTGCATCAAGAACCATCAAGGCGAACCGCACATCGCGATGCTGCCTCCAGAGAGTTCATAGATAAGGGCTATCGTTGGATGAGTGCTGCGAGGTTCAGTTGGTCGTGCTTGCATGACTGATGCAGCAATGCCTGCTCCAGCCGCTTGGGCAGTGGGATCGATCAGGTTCGACATGGTTCTGGTTCAAGGGACGGGATTCCACTAGGGAGTCCAACAAGGATGATCAGGAGTAGAGGAGGGGTTGCCTAGGCTTTGAAGAAGTCGGCAAGTGTCATAGAAGAGTTCAACCTAATGTTAGGAACTCAAGATGTCCTAACTGGTCGTCTTGAGTTAACTGGGCCACGTGCCAACAGTTATGTCGTCACTACCTCAGTAAGCATACTGAAAGGTAGGTCTAGCCGGGCCAATGCCAACAGTCAAGTCAAGAGTCCAGGTAATTGCTGTATTCAACAGGAGGTTGAACTAAGGAATACATGGGTTTTCCTACAGTATATATAGTAACTGGTATAGGGATTAATACCCAAAGAAGAGAACAATAAGAAAGGACGCGTAAGCTATCCTGTGAGAACGTAACTCGGAGATATGAGAAATACAAGGGCACTCATTGGTGGAAGGTGAGTCAGGAGAGATAAGGTGTGAAAAGAGATAGCGTCCATGGGAGGTTCTACTCAGAGAAAGGTATGGTCCAATAGCAATGCTTGGAATGGAAATAGAATGAGATAAGCATGGGAAAATCATAACAACAGGGAATGCAAAGTATTGCAACCACTCCTCTCATTGTGAATAGCTCATGTTACGATTTTCCCATGCTTATCTCATTCTATAACTTCATCACCCCGAGGTACACTCCTCCCTCTAAAGACCCCAATGCCATGGACACCGATCGCCTGTCAATCAGTGAAAGGGAGAAATACATGAAGGAAGGGCGATGCTTCACCTGTGGTCAGACTGGCCACAGGGCTGCCAATCACAAGCAGGACAAAGGCAAGCAACCAGAGAGACGACCTGTCCGAGCTACAGAGGTCAAAGAAGATGCAGACAAAGGAACCTCCAGTGTTGCCAAGATCAAAGCAATGATGGCAGAACTTGAAGAGAACGACAAGGTCAAGCTTCTCGAGGAAATAGCGGAGAAGGATTTTGCCTAAGACGACCTGCATCAGCATCAGGCTCGTCTCGTTTCTACCTTTCTACTGTAACCACAGCAAAGACTGTTGACAAGTCAATGAAGATCAATATTTTGCTATCACGTGGAAAGGGAAGCGCTGAAACGACTGGAGAAGCCCTCATTGATTCAGGGGCTGGAGGAATCTTTATCGACCAGAAGTTTGTGCTGACGAACAAGCTGAAGATGGTCCCTATACCTAGACCAATCAAGGTCTTCAATGTTGACAGCACCAAGAACAGGCAAGGTCTCATTACCAAGGCCGCATTCCTACAGATGAAAATTGGAGATCGAGTCCGCTCTGTCTGATTTTTGGTCACCAACCTGGGAAAAGAAGACATTATCTTGGGGCTACCTTGGTTACAGAAGAACAACCCAGAGATTAACTGGGTTACTGGACGGGACTCTGGAAAGAGAAACTCCATCCTAAACGTAACCATTGAAGAAATCCCTGATGAGGAATTCTCCATCAAACGTCAATACTGCAAAGGACCACTGCTGGCACACATCAATGACCCCATCTTCCAAAGTACACCAAAATGGAAGATCAAGTTGGATGACGTCTATGCTGTAATAGCACGAACTAAGGCCGAGGAAGATGATCTCCTCATACAGTTTATCACTGGACAAACGGACACTGGCAAGAAGGTTAACCCTGCAATGCAGATGGCTCAAGAAGCTGAGAAGGAAGCCAAAAGCAAAGTGGAATTACCTGAACGGTACAAAGAATTTGCAGATGTCTTCGACAAGAAAAGCTCAGAGCGATTCTCTGAACAACAGCCTTATGATCACACAATAGATCTCAAGGAAGGATTTGTTCCAAAGAATCAGAAGCTTTACCCTATGTCACCATTGGAGCAACAGAAGCTCAACAAATTCTTGAAGGAAAACCTGTCGAAAGGCTACATCCAACCGTCAAAATCCCCTATGGCATCACCATTGTTCTTCATAGGCAAGAAGGATGGAGACATACGGCCTTGCCAAGACTACCGGTATCTCAATGAATGGACAGTCAAGAATGCCTATCCGATTCCCCTGATCAGCGAAATCTTGGACAAGCTACAAGGGGCAAAGATTTTCACCAAATTGGATGTCAGCAAAGGCTACAACAATGTCCGTATCAAAGAAGGCGGTGAATGGAAGGCAGCATTCAAAACCAATCGGGGATTGTTTGAACCAACCGTCATGTTCTTTGGTCTATGCAATTTGCCGGCAACATTCCAGTCAATGATGAATGAATTATTCAAAGACATGATTGACGAAGGATGGCTTATCATCTACATCCATGCCCAAGTGGTTTTCCTTGACGATCAGTCCAAGGTATTCCACTTCTGGTTGACAAAATAGGCATTTCTCCAACTTGAGGAATAGGTCGTTTTCCCTTAATCATGCCAAGACCCATTTTGTCCTTTCCGTATCTTCTTCAGCTGTCTTGGAGAAGATAAGGAAGTCATCCATCCAGTCAAATTGAAAGGAATAGCAAGCTCGCCTGTCCCTAGGAAATTGAAGGACGTCCAGTCGTTCTTAGGATTCTGCAACTTCTACTGACGGTTTATTCCACACTTTGCCAACATCTCTCGACCATTGAATGAGCTCACCAAGAAGGATCATCCTTGGGATTGGATGGCTGAATGTCAAACAGCAAATGAAACCTTGAAGCAGAAGTTCCTGGAAGAACCAGTGCTGATGATGCTGGACAAATCCAAACCATTCATCCTGGAAACCGATGCATCCAAGTTTGCATCAGGGGCAGTTCTACGCCAACAGGATGTAAATGGAGACTGGCACCCATGAGGATATATTTCACAGGCATTTGACAAGGCTCAATGAAACTATGAAATCTACGATAGGGAGCTTCTGGCAATCATCCGAGGACTACAGAATTGGCACTACTACTTCGAGGGCGCACCCCATCCAGTCACAGTCTACTGCGATCACAAGAACTTGCAGTACTATCGATCTGCACAACACCTAACAAGACGACAAGCTCGGTGGTCACTGTATCTGTCCAAGTTTGATCTGATCTCGAAACATATTCCTGGGCCACAAATGGTACAATCAGACGCGCTCTCAAGACGACCAGACCTATGCCCTGATGAGGAAGACAATGACCAGATGGTCCTATTGCCAGAACAAATGTTCCATAGAGATGCCACTCCAGATCAGGACGAACGTATGAGCAAACTTTCTATGCCTCAATTGGAGAAGGAATTGGAGATTCAAACAAAGCAGGATATATCAATGACACCGTCTGAACCAAGCCCAGTGGAATTCAAGGATGACCCAAAGGAAAACGTATCCACGACAAAGGAAAATGAAGGTCCAACTGAATCAACGGTTGATCCAACATTGATCTCTCACGATGACCCCACGATTGTATGGATTGACAACCCTGACCTTCAAGGCGACATTCACCCACCCAACATCATGGAAGCAGAAAGAATCACAAACAAGCGGACACATGAACCAATGATCAACAATGATTGGATTCCTACTGACAAAAGGCCATGTCTAGACGGTGTCAGCAGAACTTGCGACAGATATAAATCCACCTAGAATTTACTAAGCGGGAAGGTCGTCAAGCTCCCCAAGAGAATGCTGGATTTAACATTGGTCGAGCAGTTCCCTTGTGTTCGAGAGGTAGGATAAGTTTCCAATAAACACAGACCCTGATATTGTGGTGGTAATATGATAGATACTCAATAGGTAGCTGACTACTAGTGTCTAGCTGAGAATGAAGGTAGAGAGCTAACACAGGTCAATGGAGTCTAATGACAGACTTCCAATAACCAGTCTTATATTCCAAGACAGACTTGAGCTAACTGAAGCAGACAGCAGACAGTACTGCAGTCCTTCCCTACACTGAGGTGCTTCAGACAATCAGAGTCCAGACAATTCTTATCCCACAGTAGGGACAAGGTCTGATTGACTTGACAGGCAAATAGCTTTATTGGGGGATCCCAGATAGATTGATCCTCCCTTTCCTCTCTCTACTGAGCTCCATATATACCCTACAGTAATTTGAAATTACAAACAATAGGGTGGGAAGATACTTGGGAGGAGACAATAGTGTGAGAAAAGGTAAACAATGGTGTGGGAAAAGGTAAACAATAGTGTGAGAGAGTGGTATGAGTCATCCAACTCCAGCCAATCCCTGAAGCTTTGAGAACATGGGTGACTAAGCCAAAACAATAGGCATGGGAAAGTGGTAAACAATAAGGTGGGAAAAGCATGAAAGAAAACAAAAGGGCATGTGAAATCAAGAACAAGGGGTGAGAAAATCTTTAACAATAGCATGGGAAAAGCATAAACAATAAGGTGGGAACAATCCTTGGCCAATCATGGAACGCTCTCAGCCCTTCTAGAGCATTCTACACAGTTCCTCTCCCAGTACTTGCCCTCATCCTTTCTCCCATTA